TGATAATTCACTAGGCCTTGAACAAGAGTAGCTCAGGAACAGTGCCAAGACCCTGGGTTCAACCCCCAGGACTGGCACAAAAAAATAAAATAAAATAAAAAGACTATCTCAAAAACAAGATAGTGTCACATGTCTGTGGTCTCAACTACTCAAGAGGGAGGAAGAAGTAGGAGGATCAAGACTCAATGTCATCCCAGGCAAAAGTACAAGATCCTATCTTAAAAAAAAAAACAAAAACACCTAAAAGCAAAAGGACTGGGATATCCCTCCAGCATTAGAGCACCTACCTAAACAAGCATAAGGTCTTCATTTCAAACCCTAGTATCGCCAGACTTCACTGTGGTTAACGGGAGCAGCTATGATACAGGATCCATGTCCTGGCTGCCTCAGTTGGGATACACTCTAGTTACTTATGTACCCTGTTTTTTCCTTGCACAATCATGATGACAAACATAAAGTCCACAGCATAGTGGTGGGCACAACGAAGTTCTCAGAAAATGTCAATTCCTGTGGCTTTCGAAGCAAAGTTCAAGCACTTTAAGAAGCTTCCAGTCGGATGGTGGAGGCAGATAGATTTCAAAAGATGCCTACATAAGACATAAGGTCAAAGTCCTTTAAAAACCATGTTTGGTCAAGTGCCTGCGGCTCTCGCCTATAATCCTACCCACTCAAGAGGCTGAGATCTGAGGAGCAAGGTTCAAAGCCAGCTCAGGCAGGAAAATCCATGAGACTCTTATCTCTGCTTAACTAGCAAAACTAGAAGTATAGGCACTACTCAATGATTGAACAGAAAAGCCATGCAAGAGCACAAGGCCTTGATTCCAAGGCCTGGTACCAGCAAAAACAAAACTATGTTTCGTGGGTGCCAGTGGCTCATACCTGTAGGCATAACTACTTGGAAAGCTAAGATTGTTGGGATCATGGTTCAAGGCCATGAAAAAAAGTCCACAAGATCCTTTCCCTTCAAGGAGCAGGACACATTGCAACAGCAGTAAGCCTAATAAGACTGGATCACATCCAGGCATATTGGGTAGGAATCTTACCTGACAAATAACCTGCAAAAATCAGGACTGGAAACATAGCTAAGTTCAAACAACAACAGAATCACAAGGCTGGAGGCATGGCTCAAGTGGGAGAGTGCTTGCTCTGAGTGCAAATCCCAGAACTGCCAAAGAAAGGCGGGGGGGGGGGGGATGGACTGGTCACCAGGTTGGTGGTGTAGCTGAATAGAGCATTTTCCCCAGCATTCTCAGCTCTGGGTTCAATCCCCAGTACTAAAAGAAAAGAGAACTAACTTGCCTCCTTCAGCTCTGACCTCTCTTGCTAAAGCAGTGCCTTTTTTTCTTCCTGTGCTGGTCCCGGAACTTATATTCAAGGCCTGGGCACTGTCCCTGAGCTTTTTTGCTCAAGGCTAGCATTTACCACTTGAGCCATAGTTCCACTTCCAGCTTTTTGGTGGTTAATTGAAGATAAGAGTCTCATGGACTTTCCTGCCCAAGCTGGCTTCAAACCACCATCCTCAGATCTCAGTCTCCAAAGTAGGTAAGATTACAGGTGTGAGCCACAGGCACTGGTGCTCGAAGGTCAAGTTTTTCTTCTTTTCTTGCCAGTCAGCTGTGTGATCTCCCCTCTATTGATGGCTGACAGTGTCTTTAACAGGCAAGTAGCTCGGGCCAACCTCACTCCATCCTGGGAGGATGCTCTCCCAGTCCTATAGACTAATTAGTGCGACATGCTTTCAACCCAGGGTGTCAAGAAAGCCTGGTCCTCAGGCCACTAAGGAGACACCTAGTCAGAGAGGGCCTGATATCTTTTATGGAACATTACAGAACAGAGGTGAAATTAGAGTTCTAGGGCCAGGAAAGGTTCTAGAAGAAGAAGAAAAAAAACAGAGTAGAAATGGACCTTACATAAGGCATATCCATGGTCCTCTTTTCTCACTTGAAACATGCAGATAAATGACATGAAAGTTGATGTGGCTTGAAACCATGTGATCAAACACTGATGATTTCCTATCATCCTGCCTAACACTCACCACCTGCCATGGGCTGTGACCAAGCGGCTGGGAACCCCGGCAGCAGCAGTGTTCTGGGAAGGCTCCCGTGCCCAAGGCCAGCCCTGCTGGGTCTGTGGCCTGGTCATACCACAGGGCCCTGCTTCCTGCCCCCACTCCTACGCCAGCAGTCAAGTCAGCGGTCACCATGGTCACCAACAAACCCACTCAATCATCTCTTGGATGCATTCATGAAAAAGGGTTTTAAAGGCTTCAACCTCGCCTAACCCCATCACAAGCTGGGGCAGGGAGGCAAGGGGAGGGAAGCTGAGAAGCAGTGACAAGAGGGTAGGTGACAGCAGGATTAGAACCTGCAATCTCTCCGTCCGGGAGGAGAAGCCGGTGGCCACTAGCACTCCTCACAGGAGGCTAGGTCACTTCACTAAGGCCCCGGATGTGGAGACAGCCAGTCTACACTGGCTCTGACCCAAGACAGAGCTTCCTGTGCCAAGCACAGCTGCGGACAGCAGCCGTCCTGCCCCAGAAGAGCCCGTGTCCAGAGCAGGGGACCCAAGCTGTCTGCCTCCGAATCCCCAGGTGACCTGGTAGAGGGGAGCTCCTGCCTGACTCCTCAGCCTTCTCCCTAGAGAGTGGGGCCATGCTGGGCCTGCCACTCTCGGGATTGGAAAAGGTATAAAAAGGGTAGGAGCAGGGTAGTGGTGGGTTTATTGTTGGGCCATGTGACATTGAGAAAAGAAACAGCCAGGGGAAAGAGATAAAACATACTGAGGATCTAGCTGTTTCTACAGAGAATTAGCTCTTCTTCCTTCTGGCCTGGACTAGGGCAGTAGTCTCCTACCCAACCTCAGCCTGCCTTCCCATCTTCCATCTTCCAATAGCAGTGCACGCCCCAGAAGAAACCAGTACCACCCACCACAGCGGGCAAACCCATGATAGAAGTGCTCCCAACTCCAAAGGGAAAATCACTTCCTGCTCTTCCTTTGCCCTTTCCCAGCCAGCACAGCAGCAATGCCCACCCCAACCCTAAACTTAAACCCTAGCTCCACTGGCAAGACAGCCAGTGGAATCCCAGCCACACCCTGCACAGCCCAGGCCACATAGAAGAATCATGATCCCTCCCCCGGAAGGCCCAGATCCTATCAGCTGCCCCTCTCCAAGGACCCTTGGTCTCTCTGCTGTGTGCTGACAAATCCTTGCTCCTTCATGGGGGATTCTGGCTTGTCTCCATCACCCCAAGAGTCCAGTGTGGGTCCAATCCCCGCCTCTGTGCACAAGGCAGGACAGTGGCCAAACACAGAGATGTCATGAAGGTGTGCCCAGTGATAACATAAAATCAAGGATGCAGCCAGAAAAGTCCCTTCTAGAAACAGCTGAACCCTACCCCTTCACTGCCCAGGCCTGGTCTTGACAGTCACGACTCTGCCAATCTAAGCATCACACACAAAGGTCACTAAACAGCATTGAAAAACAGCCTCACCCATCCTGGAACAGCAAAACAAAAACCTTGTTCCTGTTTAACCCACAGGTCAGAAGCTCTCTGAGTCTCATCAGTAGGAGAGGGGGTCTCCCAAGGTCTCACTCACTCACTAGTAATGGGCAGTAGTTCCCAGCCCCTGCTCAGCACATAGAGCAAAGGAGCGCATTTGCTCCCTCGTGGATCCTCATACTCAGCCTCCCCTCTCAGACTCCCTTGGATGCCAGAGCTGCTTGAAGGGTGGCTAGCTGTCCCTCCCACCAGGAAGTTCCCTCCCTCCATCTCTGGCTCCTGGGGTCTTGGCAACTGCATCACTATTTTTTTTTTAATTTTAGCTGAATTTCGAGCCAGCACAGCCCTGGGAAGGTACTTTCCTCCTACTCTGAGAGGCCCTCGCCTGCACCACGACACTGTCTTTTGAAAGTGAGAACCGGGGAGTGGCTGTTCCATCCTCAGGGGCACAGCACACACCCCCACCCTGCAGGTCATCCCTCAAGAACCTCTAGATGGGAGATTCCCCCTCCCCCTCCAGGGTTTCTGGAAGGGAAGGGACCAAGTTGACAAGTCAGGTCTGCAATCTAAAAGCCTTGATAGGTGAAGTGCTCAGGTCCAAGATGCTGGAATAGCAGAGGCCTACTCCGAACAATGGTGGCCCGCTCCCTCCCACCAGTGCAATGGTGCCCAGCCCAGTGAGCTGATGCCCGCACTAAAGACTGGAAGCTTCTTGGTACTAGAAGAGGATGCTCTCAACCCTGAGAGGGGCAAGAGGTGTACCAACTAGATACATATATTTGATGATGAAGGAGGCTGAGGCCCAGAGAGGGGTAGCTACTCGCCCAAGGTCACACAGCAAGGCCCAGCAAGCACCTCCAGACCTGCGGACTCCCAGCCTCGGGCTCTCAGAGCCTTATGGGCAAGTATGGGGCACTCAAGATGTCAAGATGCAGACAGCTCCCCAACTCGAACAACCCCCAGCCCCCTTACCTCTCAGACCTCAGTGGGCCTTACCTCAGACCTGGCTTCTGGGCGGGGTACTCAGGCCAGTGTGGACCAAGCTGGGCTGGGTTAGGTCAGGGCGGGTCCTCCGCTCCCACTAGGGAGGGGTCGCCCTCCTCCAGTCCCAGACGGCAGGGATGCTGTTCCCACTGCAAAGTCCAATTTACCTAGCTCCCTTTGCACAACCCTGTACGGACCCAGGAAGCCCGACTGTGGTGCAGCCGAGGAGCTGCGGGACGAAGCGAGGGGGAGGGGCGAGGTGCGGGAAACGGGGCGGAGCCGGAGTGGGGGCCACCGGGGCGAGCCGCTACTCGGGCCGCGTCCCCTTTAAGACCAGCTGGCCTGCGCGCTGGAGGGGCGGGGGCCGGAGCTGGACGGTTCTCGCAATGCTTCCTGGGAGGTGGAGTTTATGCGGGGGGTGATTCGGGGCCGCACGGATCCCGGAAAGGACTACCAGACCCAGAATGCAGCGCGCGGCCCCACGCCGCCCCGCCCCTAGTCTGGGCTCCGGCCCACCGCCCCCTCGCGAAGCTGCGCTGGCCGCCCGCGGAGGGGAGAGGCTGCAGAGCCGGGGCAGGAGGTGGGTGCGGCGCGGGCCGGAGCAGGGGGGACTTGGGACCTACCGGTGAGGAGACGCGGGCCCACTGGGCGCCCGTCCTGCCAGGAGAGGTCATCCGCCCCAGCCTCAGCGTTGTCATCTGTGAAATGGGGCGGCCTGGCTCGTGGCTGCGGGGGAGGGGGCGCTGCCGGGGGGCAGGGCCGGCGGGCGGGGCCGGGGGGGGGGTCGGTACTGTGGGCGGAGCCTCCGGTGGGAGGGGTCTGAGGGTGAGACCCGAGGATTCCTGGCGCATCCGAGGTCAGAGCTGAGGGGTGCGGGCTGCGCACCCCTGGGTTGGATTGAATAATGGTGCTTGGAGGAGTACGCACCGAGATCCAAAGATAGAAGGGAACCCCCCTCCCCGAGAACGGAGCGGGGCTGCGGGGGGGAGCTCAGCGCCGTAGAGATGTGAGCGAGGGGCCTGTGGACGCGCACAACCCCTTCCTCGTCTTGACACTAGCCATCAACAGCCCATCCCTTGATCTCAGTGCGTCACACACGAAATCTCACACAACTCAACACTGTGAGGGTGTCGCTGTCCACAGGTGCGGAACACAGGGCAGAAGGGAAGTAACTTGCCCTCAACCCTCGGCACTCCTTGCCTCGAAACCCCTGCTTCTCCCTGAGCTCCAGGAAGGCAAAGGTTTTAGTCTGAGAAACAGGGTTTCTGATACCCTGTCCCTTCCCAGGTTAGTGCAGTGGGACTCCGCTCCTGTGAATGTCAGCCCTCCCATGGCCTTGCGAGACTGAATTGAGGACACTGATTTGAAAACCCTTTGTGTAACGAATTTATCATAGCTGGGAGGAAAAGAAAGGCCATAGGAACAGAATGCTTCAGATGAAGTGGTTGGGCGGAGGAAAACCACAAAGTGAAGCAGAAAGAGCTAAGAAGGCCAGGAAGATGCCAATGGAGATTGGGTGATGGTGGTTGTTGGGAGTCTGCACCAGCTAGAATACTTTGCTGTGCTAGCAGGAAAATCTTGCCTGGTCAGGTGGCTTTGCTCCTCCAATCCCCCTTCCCCTTCCCCCCTAACAGCCCCCGCACTCACACCCACAACCCACAACCCCCTTACCTCTCAGACCTCCTCGAGCCTTACCTCAGACCTGGCTTCTGTGTGGGGTGGCAGGTCCTCACTCCAGAGTACCTTTTGTCAACTGTATGGAAAAGACACACCCCTACCAGGTTAGTTGAGATGATGCACAGCCTGTGGGCTTCTTAGAGATAAGGCCTGGACCAGATAAAACTAAAGATACAGCTGCTCTAGTCAAGTTCTGGATGCTCACACCTGTAATTCTGTTTCTCAAGAAGCTGAGATATGAGGATCAAGGCTCAAAGCCTTTCTATGTAGAAAAAAATCTGTCTCTTACCTCCAATTAATCACAAAAAGCTAGAAAGTGGACTGAAAGTGTGGCTCAAGTAGTAAAGCACTAGCCTCCAGTGACAAAGCCAAGTAAGTGCCTGAGGACCTGGGTTTAACCCCTGGTACTGATGCACACATGCACACAAAGAAACAGCTATTGAGAGCTGCCTGGTACTGGTGCATGTAAGTGTGTGCATGGGTGCATGCACACGCACACACACACACACACACACACACACAGAAAGACACAGCTACTGGAAGCCAGGCATCGTGGGACACACCTGTAACCCCAGCACTCCAGAGGTAAAGACTGGAGGATGGGGAGTTTGAAGCCAGTCTGGGCTGTATAGTGAGAACCTACATAGTGAAGAGGTGAAGGTGAAGGTCATTTGTCTACATTTCACTTGGGGCTGTGAGCCAGAGTCCTTATCCTGTGGGCTCACTGAAAGGTGGGCGTGGGGGTGGAAAGGTAGGATCTCTAGTCTATGGGAGCACACATTACTCAGGCTGAGCATGCTTTGTCCATCCACCTGCACCGTGGCAGCCCTCCTTGTATGTCTTTCCAACTGATCACCTGGACCTTGCCCTAAGCCTTAGATTGCCAATTGAAAATTCATGAGAAGATTTCAAAATGAAAAGCTTTAAGCATGGCAGAGAATGGTAAAGCTTCCCATTGGTAGATGACATTAGTCTAGGATGGGTGAGAATGGATCTGAGTAAACAGGGGAAGAGATTTCTTCCTCCTTCGCTTCAACTAACCCTTTTGTGGGGATAGAGTGGATATTCCTAACCCCAAAAGAGTCAGGCACTCATTTATCTAAGTTGTAGTAAGGAGTGTGGATAAAGTACTCTGCAGAGAAAGTGGGCTGGGTGGCTCACGCCTATAATCCTAGCTGCTTGAGAGCTGAGACTGGGAAGATTGCTGTTTCAGGCTTGCCCAGGAAAGACATCTTGATATTAGCTTCTAAGTTGATTTGGTTTGGTTTTTTGCCAGTCCTAGATCTTGAACTCAAGGCCTGGGCACTGTCCTTGAGCATCTTTTGCTCGAGGCTAGCCCTCTACCACTTGAGCCACAGCTCCACTTTCAGCTTTTTTGGTAGTTTACTGGAGATAAGAGTCTGAAGGACATTATTGCCTGGGCTGCTTTGAAAGGTGATACTCAGATCTCAGCCTCCTGAGTAGGTAGAATTACCAGCGTGAGCCACCAGTGCCCAGGAGCTCCTAAATTGAAAATATATATTCATCTCCTATATAGCCACAAATACATTATGTATAAAAATAAAAATGTAAGAAGTTAGTATTGCCTATTAAGCACCTAAAATTAACATTTTTCAATTGCCAAAACAAAAAAGAACGAAGAAAAACTTTGATATTCATATTGGTTTTAACCAGAGCCATCAAGATACACATATTGGATGGGTGTGGTGATATACACCTATAATCCCAGCTACTCAGCAAGCAGAGGCAGAAAGCTCCAGGCCCAAGGTTGGCTGGGGGAAAGAAAACACAAGACCTGGATCCTATTTGAGAAACTAAAAGGAGGTGACTTAGCTCACATTAGAACACTTGCCTAGGGAGAATAACCATTGACACATTGCATTTGATTATACCTCCTTGGGTAACCCTTTAATCTAAACCCTATTCAACTACTTGTGTTTGATTTGTTCATCATTAGTTAGATTTAGGTTCTTTGTGTGGGGGTTTGGGGGTGGGTACAGGTAGGTGAGTGGGTGGGTATGCCAGTTCTGGGGTTTGAACTCAGGATCTTGGCACTGTCCCTTAAGCTTTTTTCTTTCTTTTCTTTTCTTTCTTTCTTTCTTTTTTCTTTTTGTAAAGGCTACCACTCTACCACTTGAGCCACAGCTCCACTGCCAGCTTTTTGGTGGTTAATTGAAAATAAGAGTCTCACAGACTTTCCTGCCAGGACTGGCTTCAAACCATGATTGCCAGATCTCAGCCTCCTGAGTAGCTAGGATTATAGACCTGAGCCACCAGTGAAGAGCTTTGTTATTGTTTTTGTTTGTTTTTATAACGTGTCCTTGGTTGCATGGACTTAGGACTGTCAAGTTTGACTATTGGTAAGATTGTGACAAGTTGATGTCCACTGAAGGATGTCCTCATAATCAAAGCATCTGTGAAGTGATCTCTAGACTGTAGGAAGTGTGTGTTCCTTACACGGCATAGCCATTGATAGTCTTTGCCTTAATGTGGAGAGTTACAAAAGGGGAATTTTCTGATTTACCATTCCTTCTATACTTTTTTTTTTTTTGGTCGGACGTGGGGCTTGAACTCTGGGCCTGGGCGCTGTCCTTCAGCTCTTCAGCTCAAGGCAAACGCTCTACCACTTGAGCTACAGCGCCACTTCCGGTTTTCTGGTGGTTTATTGGAGATAGGAGTCTCACGGTCTCTCCTGCCCGGGCTGGCTTTGAACCACGATCCTCAGATCTCAGCCTCCTGAGTAGCTAGGATTACAGGCGTGAGCCACCAGAGCCCGGCCATTCCTTCTATACTGATATGGACCATGCTTTTTATTTTTAATTCAATGTGCTGAAATCCATTCTCATCATTCTTTGTGGTACTCAAAATTAACCTAAATTCCACCTTTAGGCCAGCATCTGCATCCTTTTCCTAATGAAGATCATCAGTTGTCATTTCTCCAGGAAGCTCCAGGCCAGATATACTTATAGCATCATCTCTAGACACCATGAGTGAGCAGATCCAGAAAGTGGACTGGGGGATGAATTAACATTACTTAGTAGATTCATTGTTTTTATAACAGCTGGTATCACTGATAGTACACAAAAGGGAGACCGAATAGAAGTAGTTACCTAACTTCTAGCCTGAGTCAGCTTCTCTCTCCTTCGAAAATAGAGGTGATACTTTCTTTGAAGCAGTGTTAAGACTTATACCTAGCCAAATTTGCTACAAAGAAAGTACTCAGTATATTAGCTATTTTCCTCACCAAGTCTTTGGGGACAAATTGAGGGTATCAGGACAGTTTTTGTTTTTGTTGTCTTGTGCCAGGTGTAGGGTTTGAACTCAAGGTCTCATGCCCTTGCTTAGCTTTTTCAGCTCAAGGCTGGTACTCTATCACTTGAGCATACCTCCACTTCTGGCTTTGTTTCTGGTTAATTAGAGGTAAGAGCCTCAGGGACTTTTCTGCCTGGGTTAATTTCAAACCATGATCCTAAGATCTCCACCTCCTGAGTAGCTAGTATTACAGGAGTGAGCCATTGATCCCCACCTTGACTGAGTTTTAACGTAGGAATCTCAAGATTGTGTCTTGACTCTCCTCCTTATAGGACCTCAAAAATGCTATTTTCTATGTCATAATTAGAGGTTGCAAACAGGGTGATTTTTAGCCCTAGACTAGAACTGCACCTTCCTACTGTACCAGGCTGGATACCCTGTAATTGCAGCCACAACTCCAAACCCAGGTTCCTCCCCCCTCCACTATGCCCTCCCCCCCCCACCCTGCCTCATGCTTAAAGAAATTGTGTATTGTTACCTGGTCTGACACCACACCCTTGGCTTTCTTGGGAAGGTAAATGGACTGTTCGTTTTCCTGGTTCTCAAGTAGACAGGCAGATTAAAACTAGATTTACCTCTTGGAAAGCCTCCTCTTTAAGGAAAAGTATTTATTCACCCACACTGGGTTTCTTTGAACTTCTGTTTCCTGGTTCAGTTTACATTCCCCTCTGCCTTTTTGAATCTGGCTTTTTAAAACCTGCCTTTTTGTGGTTTGCTGATTTATCTTTAGACCTTACAGGCTGCTATGAAGTAGAGGTTTAGACCATCCTGTGAACATGCCCTGTGTCAGATGGCAGGGAACGGGGGTTGGGGAGGGGATCCTGGTGGCCTGGCCCCAGGTGCAGGTGGGCAGAGTCCCAGGCTTGCAGTGGGTGACTTCAGTCTGGCCTTAGAGAGAGTAAGGGCTGTATGCATCTCTACTCACTTTCACAACAGGTTCCTGTAGTGTGAAAATGAGCAGAAGTGTAAACTGCCCTAGATTCAGATCCTAAATCTTGCCCAAACTAGATATGTCACCTTGAGCCAGCTCCTGTCCTTTCTGAGCCTCAGTTTCCTTATCTGCAAAATGGAGACAATACTAGTTGGGAAGGAGAATAAAGCTTTCTTGTACTAGATTCTTTGCTACAAATTAAGTTGATGTAAAACACATTAACAGGAGCAAACCTATTTTAATCATGTACACACATACTATATGGGAATCAGATTTTACCCAGACTTCTGAACTACAGAAAGAGGGGCAGGGAGGTGGTAGGTGGGAGTTGGTATCAGGGAATTTGGAAAAGACTGAAGGGAGGTAATATGTGAATATATGCCTTGTACAGCTAAAAGTCTCTCTAGTGATAAGGATTGTCTCAGATTAACTTCTTGGTACAAATAGTTTGCTAATGAAAGTGTTCTTTATGTCAAAATTTCCTTTATAAAAAGGCAACTTCTCAGAGCTGCTTATGTATCTACAGTTTCTCCAAACAATCAACTTGAGGGCTGGGAATGTGGTTTAGTGGTAGAGTGCTTGCCTAGCATGCATGAAGCCACAAGTTCAATTCCCCAGTACCACATAAACACAAAAAGCTGGAAGTGGCAGTGTGGCTCAAGTGGTAGAGTACTAGCCTTGAGCAAAAGAAGCTTATGGATAGTGCCCAGACCCTGAGTTCAAGCCCAATGACTGGCAGAAAAAAACAAAAACAAAAAATAATAATCAGCTTGAAAAAAGAAATATGCTAAACAGGGAAGAGGAGTGGCATACTCTGGGAGATAACTGGGAAGGGAGCTCTTTGGAAAACGTGTGCCTAGCATGTTTAAGACCCTTGGTTTCATCTCCAGCACTGAAAAAGTAAATAAGTAAATGTAACCAGGTTGGAGCTGTAGCTCAGTGACAGAATGCATGCTTAGCATGCACAAGGTCCTAGGCTCAGTTTCCAGCACAAAACTAAAATAAACTGCTATCAAGTATTGCTCAACAGGTGTCAAGTAAGCCCTGAGTTCAAGCCCCAAGACTGGCAAAAAAAAAAAATTTCAATCACAGATAACATTTTCACCTCAGCCTCTGCTACAGCTACTACAGCTGTCCTACCTTTGGGTTACAAGCTCAGCCTGCTCTACTAATGATAAAGATCAAAAGTAGGTAAGAAAAAGACCAGTTGAGAAAAGCACTATCTATGACTGGTTATCACCCACTGACTATATTGATTTAATGACTTATTAATGAGTTACAATATTTATTTATGCAAGGTCTTAGGAGAGCTGTTAATGTAAAGGAGATTTGGGACAGCCTCACAGAGTGAGGCTCCTCTATTAGGCCTTAACAGGAAGAAGAGAAAGTAGACAAGGGTGATGCAAGGGTAGGACAGGCGACTGTGAGGTTGTACAGTACCAGAACCTGAAATGAATGTGAAGGAACAAGGTGCTTGGGGCAAGGAGCAGTGCTGTACATGCTCGATCTGAAGACCAGAATAGAGGGAGGATACAGAATATGGAGGGAGCAGGGATGAGACCTGAGTTCCTGCAGTAGTTCTAGAAACGGAAGATACAGAAGAATCTGGGCTGCCTCCCAGGTCTTGGGCAGTTGATGGCTAAGAAATATTCACAGCAGGGCTAAAGACAGGGGAATTCTGCTAGGCTGATTCATGTGGAAGATCCGATTGGAGTTGACGAGGACACAACTGGGTGCACATGATAGGCAGTAGCTCCAATGATGTTAATTCAACACCACCAGACTGAAGGTGCTTTGTGCAACCAAGCTCCTCCCCTAAGTCCCTCCCCCTGTCCCAAGGTTCCAGTTTCTGCTCTTTCATTTCACATCATTGGACCTGTTACAGTAGAGCCTGTGGACTTGTAATGATAGCCCAGTGAAGGCCTTGCAGGGCCTTGAAAGACTGTGAGTTAGTAGGTATGGAATGTACCCACAGAACACAACTTGGAGAGGGAACAAGAGGCCTGCCTTTTAGCCATCCTCTGTCCCTACTGCCTTTGACTCTTGCCCTCTCCAGACAGATGGCTGGAGTCACACCATAGTGGGAGGAGAAAAGCAGGTAGTCTATTGCTTTTACAAGCAAAGACATAGAGATCAGGGCACTGACCAAAGATCCTCAGGAGTGCTTGGGGCCGCTGACTGCCCTGATCCCCAGTGTCCTGAGTACTTCTGTACTAATGCCTACAGGAGGTGAGAGCCCGTGGTCTGCAGGGTGGTCTGGAAAGTTAGCCTTTGATTCCTAAGCCAGCTCCTTCCACGGAGCTTTCACAGAGCCTGGGTATGAAACCTAGAATTTTGAAGAGGAGGACTAATTTGGCCTATTTTTTCAAGGACAGAGACCTTAAAAATTGTGCAAATTATTACATAGAAAAAAAAAAGAGGTGGAAGAGACTAGGGTCCTGGGAAAAAGAAAATAGGGAGATTAAAGCAGATTTTGGAATGAGTATATGCTTAGCTGCATCTAAGCATCTGCCTGCCTTGGCCCTAATCCCCGAGTATCCTCCCCAGATGCTGCTTCCAAAAGGCAGACTCCTCCCCTCCCATGGCGGCCATCCACCCCTTTCTGTTGAACCTCCCCACTGTCTCACAGCCCATCTGCTCCAAGCTTTTGCCAACACATTTGTAATTTCATCATGGGCTTCTCTTCAGACACTCCAGATGGTTAATCCTTTTCTGCAATATCAAATTGCCCCATTAGACTGGGGAAGAATCAAAAGAGAACTGTCTCCTCAGGCAAGGCAGCTGAGCATCTCCCACATGCAGCCCAACTTCCCTACTCTAGAAAGTGAGTCTCGTTACAGTCAGCCTCCTCAGAAGGCAGACACCTTGTGGCAAGTACTTGCAACTTTGGGAGGGCCTCCGTGGACCTTTTTGTCCATGTAGACCATAAATGTGCTTAGCAAGGTCTTTCTACATGCAGCCTGGGCTTTTCTGAAGGGCAGTACAGGGGCCAATTCCTCTTGGTGCCCTACCCTCAGTGTTGGGGAGACTGATGCATTCATTCCAGAAGCTGGCTCTGAGGAAGGGTCATGTTAGAAGCTGGAAGGGTGTGAGAGGGAGCATCCTGTGCTTTCTAGAACTTTAAAGAGAAGTTAAAATCCGACATGAGGTAGAAGGAAACTCAGCAGTTCTAGATGCTAGAGGCTGTTAGATCAAAGGGGAAGAAGGGGCACCCTCAGGAAGAGGGCTATGCACAGACTCACACATTAGCAGTGATCCTATAGTCAGTTACAGAGAAGACTGGGAACTGGATCTTGGTGGGAAAGGTTAGACTACCAAGAGCCAAGAGCATCTTCTTCACAAGGCAGCTTGGTCCAGGAGCATGGGAACGTGAAAAGAAAATCATGCCAGAGGGCTGAGTGCCCAATGTAAGTCTGGTAGGTAGAGAGAAATGGCATGGTCACAGCCATTCATAAAACCCTTGGAAAGGGCTGGGAAGGTGGCTCAGTGGTAGAGTGCTTGCCTTGCATGCATGAGGCCCTGGGTCGATTCCTCAGCACCACATAGGCAGAAAAATCTGGAAGTGGCGCTGTGGCTCAAGTAGTAGAGTGCTAGCCTTGAGCTGAAAAGCTGAGAGACAGCGCCCAGGCCCAGAGTTCAGGCCCCATGACTGACAAAAATAAAAAACTTGGAAAAAAAGAATTCAACTAATAGGGCAGCACTGATATAGTAACTACGTCTGGAGTCTTAAATCTCAAAATAATTTGTTCCTTGAGCATACCAATCTTTAGCTAGTGGGTATTTATATATCTTTCATAGAAAGGAGTCTGAGTCCTGTGGGTCCTTTACCTCCCTGAAATGGGGGAATGGGTTCTGGCTGGGTCTTCCTCATTCATACAATAGTGATGGATGGTAGTACTGTCTGTGTCAAGAGATGAGAGGACTGTTAGGTGAGCATATGCTTATGTAGCCTGCAGTCTACACACATATTCCTCTTTTCCTTCAGACCAGCAATGGCTAGCTCGCTAAACATTTAGTCACCAAGGAAGCTATTCAAAACTATTGCTGAATCCATGTTCCAGACCAGTAAAAATTAATCTCCAGAAAGCAGGACCCAAGCTTGTGTGTGTGTGTGTGTTAATATATGTGTGATAATTCCCTTGTGATTCTAACAGCCACTCATCAAATATTAAGTCATTTCAACTCTAAGGAGTAGTTAATTGTAGTTGTTGTATACCAAGGGGAGTTAAGAAATATGGATACCCAAATCTAGTTAGACAATAATCATTTCTCATTTTTTCCCTTTCCAGTAGTATATTCCAGTATCTCAGTCTCGTGCCATGTCTGACCCCATTACACTGAATGTTGGGGGGAAGTTGTACACAACTTCACTGGCAACCCTAACCAGCTTCCCCGACTCCATGCTCGGCGCCATGTTCAGTGGGAAGATGCCCACCAAGAGGGACAGCCAAGGCAACTGCTTCATTGACCGCGATGGCAAAGTGTTCCGCTACATCCTCAACTTCCTACGGACCTCCCACCTGGACCTGCCTGAGGATTTCCAGGAGATGGGCCTACTCCGGAGGGAGGCCGACTTCTACCAGGTACAGCCCTTGATTGAGGCCTTGCAGGAGAAGGAGGTGGAGCTCTCCAAGGCCGAGAAGAATGCCATGCTTAATATCACACTGAAGCAGCGTGTGCAGACGGTACACTTCACTGTGCGGGAGGCACCTCAGATCTATAGCCTGTCATCCTCCAGCATGGAGGTCTTCAATGCCAACATCTTCAGCACATCCTGCCTCTTCCTCAAACTCCTGGGCTCCAAGCTCTTCTACTGTTCCAATGGCAACCTTTCGTCCATCACCAGCCACTTGCAGGACCCTAACCACCTGACTCTGGACTGGGTGGCCAATGTAGAGGGCCTGCCTGAGGAGGAGTACACCAAGCAGAATCTCAAGAGGCTCTGGGTAGTACCTGCCAATAAACAGATCAACAGTTTCCAAGTCTTCGTGGAGGAGGTGTTGAAAATTGCTCTGAGCGATGGTTTCTGCATAGATTCTTCTCACCCCCATGCTCTAGATTTTATGAACAACAAAATTATTCGATTAATACGGTACAGATAAAATAGAAAACAAAAAACCAAGGAGCCACATAGGGGTGGGTTTCCCAAGAAGCTCCACATCAGCCAAGGCCTTGGAGAGTGTCTCTTCAGCGGTATGAGGCAGGGGACTATACTAATGTGCATTCATTGCGTAGCAGGACTTGATTCCCTCATAATGAAATCCACCTTTTGAAGTCCACTTGTCCTTTGAACAGAACCAGCTTTTCCTTGCCATTTTGAGCTGGAAATGGGCAGTTTATTATGACAAGAGTCAGCAGATGTGTACAAGAGGAGTCCACAGGTGCCAGGACAAAGGAGAAGCCGTTTTGTCATGGACTCATCTTTGTACCACTAGCCAGTGCCTCATCTACCCATCTGTACAAAGAGCCTCTGGGAGAAGACAGTGTGAAGTGAGAGTAAGAGGTTCCTTTTGGATTCTCAGGACGTAGAGGGCTCAGCAGATCCAATCATGCCTGCTCTTCCTTCTTTAGGATGTGCCGTGATCTTAGACTCATTTTCCCAGGGTGACCATGTTTGGCTGGCCTGGAATGTAGTGTGTTCAAAGAGCTCTTTTGTGGCCCCCACTCAGGGAGAAAGTTGAGTATGGCCTAAAGGAGTGAGTAACTGGGCAAGGTTCAGACAGTGAGGAAGTTCTGTTTGAAGCTGAATCTAGTGATTTCTGGCTTCAGAAAGGAACACTGTCCTTGCAAAGTTGTGAAAGCCCTTGGAGCCAATATAATGAAAGGCACTTCATGATCCAGCCTACTGCTTCACTTCTGTAATCCTTTTCCCAAAAATTTGAAGTGTCATGGAAACATGTCAGTTTAAACAAACATTATGATTCTCAGGGTTAGAAAATAATCTAGTAGTTGTTTAGTTCTCCGCTGTCTCCAGGACCTGCCAGCACAGTTGAGGCTGAGCATCACATAGGCCTGCTCACATATTCCCGGTGTCAGGAAGCTTACTACCCCTAAGGCTCCTCCTGCCACAGTTGGATGGTTCTGGCTGATAGAAAACTTTCCTTTATTGAACCAAAATCAGTCCTGCCATTTCCATGTGCTAGATCTCGGTTCCAGCCCTTCCTTCTCACCTATTTGTGTAACTTTCCAGTCACCTCAAGAAGCAAGAAGCCAGATACTTACTCGAAAATACTATTACTCAGAATTTGAATTGCCCTTGGGATATTTGGAACCAAAGTTGGCCACTTCCATACCTTGCAAATCAATCCCCCTTTGTTATTGCTCTACCTTGCTTGTGACCCCCCACTTCCTCCACCCTCCTCACCATTTTCATTTGGGAGCTGAAATATCACTGCCAGGACCATCCAGAGGAAGGAGATGAGGTCTTGCAAAGAACCCAGGAGGGATCGAAACCTTCACACTGCCTTTAGAGTAAGTGTCTGGCACACAACACTTCTCTGAAAGAGGCAACCTTCCATATAGTCCTGTCTGGTCCTAACTGTCCCGTAGACTTCCTTGGGATTCATGAAGAGTAAGAAACCCCAAGCTACCACTTCTCTGTGGATGATGAGCCTTGCGGGCCCACAAACCGCACATCATGATTCATCCCTGTAGTGAAAGTGGCTTTTGAAGTCCACATAGGGGAGGGGCTTGACACAGACATCCATATGAGGTGGACCAAGCAGAGGGCTTTGCATACTTGCACTTTGTGCATAGGAAGCTTGAATAGTGGGCCATAGGCAAAACCAGGTCCTTTAGACAACAAAGCTTGTCCCTTGAACAGCTGAACCCATGAATCTCTAACAGCTCTCCTGGGCCACCAGGCCAGTGGTACTCAGAAAAGCCCTCAAAGTAGGCCAGATTTAAACAGTAGAAATTGTAACTACAGCAAAATAATTCAAAGAAGTCTAGTAAATCACTACTCTCCATAAAACTGCTTTCTCCATATTTTTGGTGCTTCCTAATTCAGGCAACTTGAGTTTAGAGAAAGTATGGAACCTGTAAAGCCACTAACATGTTGTGTGACTATGCACCTCACTGAGCCACCTCTGATTCTGCATCTGTGAAATGGGCGTAACAGTAATACATAACCCTACCTACCTCACAGGGATGTTGTGAGGATCAAATGAAATAATGTATGTGAGAATAAAGACAAATGATTAGTATTGTGTATCTGTTTTCCATGGGGAAGAAACCCTAGTCTTGAATCATAGAGACTCAGATTTAAATCCTGGCTCCCTCACTTGCTATGTAACTTTGGCCAAGTTACTGAGCTTCTCTGATTGTTTTCCTCATTGGGTAACAACTCACACCTTCCTGGATTAAGAGCCTTAAGAAAGTTATTAGAAATCCCAACCAGCCCTAGCACACAGAGCACAGGGTCTTTCAGGAGTTCATTATGGGGCACTACTGTACATTTTAAGAGCCCCAAGAGAGTACAGCTAACAAGCCCTTAACAGGGTACTTCTTATGTGGCCCAGAGAATGAGGCAGTCTGGAAAATGCTAAAAGAACACAGTTCTCAAAAGGGCTGTCTGGATGGTGGAGCTGGGCCCTTGAGGGTAGGTTAGATACTGACAGGATAAGCTAGGAACACAGTTATACAGAAAGCACAAGAGACTTGGCAGCCAGGCAGGAAACACAATCGAGGGTAGGAGTGCACTCTCACTTGGATGTGGCATGAGGAATGGATTAGGACAGGAGTACATCCAACCCAATCCCATCTGGTCCACATGTGATTTAGGTTGGTTCAGCTTAGCAAAACTGTAAGAGAGGCAGGGGTGCATTCCCAGTGGAGAAGGGAGCCAAAGTGGGGTACTGGGGACAGGGTTGTATCACTGTAAAACCCCTCCCTCCCTGTGCTATCTCATCCACATTACAAGGACTCTATCCCAGCCCAGGGGGCAACTCTAGGCTTGCATCAGCTACTTGACTGTTTCTGCCCTGGGTGTAGTCCCAACCATGCAAAGGAATGACCAGAAAGGATGCCACAGGGAACTTCTAGGCACCTAGGTATGACCACTATGGGGCCCAGCCTAACAAGGCCCTTCTCTGTGTGAAGGCCAGTTCAAATGCCACCTCAAGCACCACTCTATGATCTCTGGTCTGTCTTTGGGCCAGAGTCCCCACCCAACCTGTACCCTACACCTCAGTGTCCACACAGCCCTTTTCCCCATTTTGTAAACCACTGTGCAGCCTAAACATAGCACCCCAATTCCAGATTCCTGTTACAAATTATTCCTGACACTGCATCTGTGTGGATGGGGGCTCAGCCAAGGTCAGCTGTGGCCAAAGCAGCAGCCCATCCCTTTCTTAGACCACAGTCTCTCCATATGGACCATTTGCATCTTTCTGGGTCGCAGGAGGCTCAGGACTGATGATGGCAGTTGGCAGGGAAACAAGGATCTATGATCCTCTCCTGGAGCAAAACAACCTTCATAAAAGGCCCAGGCTTGTTTCCAGGCCCTGTGGTCCTTGCTCTAGAGCTCCATCTACATGGACAGCCTAGTGCCCTCTCTCAAAACCCTGTCTGCAGAATCTTTGGGACTGTATATTATCAGCAGAATTGAAGAGACAATCTAGTGACACCCAGTCTACAGCACAGGGACCAAAAGCCTCTGAGGAGAAAAAGGCAGTCTGTGGAAGCCAGACAATCACGGAGCGCCTAAACCCTACCTGACACAAAGGGAGATAAAATAGGCTTTGAGGTAGTGACTGATTATCATGGAAAGTATATGACCCTTGCTACCCAATAGGCAGGGCATTTCAAAACCTTTGTCAACATTAGCTGGCAGTGCTAGATTTGTCCATTCTTTTCCTTATGCCAGGTCCCTCTGAAAGACTGTGTTCCCTTTTGCTGGTAATTGGGTAAAGGCCCAGTTGAGCCACCTTTGAAATCCTCTAGGAATTGGTCCCCAGCTAAAGAACAAAGAGTCCTCTCTCTCTCCCCACAATGAATTCTCTTTATAAATCTTGTATTGAATTTGCTTGATAAACTCTTCAAAAACTTGCAGATTGCCACACTCCATCACATCCATGGTTTCACAGAATCACAGCACACACTGCATTTCACTGCCTTGTCTTCAGAGCATCAGTGTGTCCTTCAGCATTTTGCATAAGCCCCCCTTCTTGACTCCACCAGACAGTCAGTCCAAACTACCTAGTGCTATCCTATACCAGAGGAAATAGTTCTCATCAACTTGCAGTGTTCACAGGCAGTGTGGTACTGGCAAGAAGTCCACAACCAACTCCCCAGGGATAAGGCCTGGTTTGGAACCCAGACCAGTTTTCATGGGGTGATTATGCTCATTTGGTTGATTTCAAGCCATCAATATCACTGACACGCTGGGAAGAGAGGCATACAATGAGCTTTGCAGAGAAAGTGAGCCATCTGCAACACCTCCCTCTTGCTCTGTCCATCTGTCTGTCTCCCTCTTTTCCTCTCTATTTTCCATTGCCAGTATTGGGGCTTAAATCCAGGGCCTCCAGTTGTAGCTTGCCTTTATTTGCTCACAGCTGGCACTCTACCACTCAAGCCCTACCTCCACTTCTAGCTTTTCACTAGTTAATTAGAGATGAATCTCTGGATTTGTCTGCCTAATCTCAGGAGCCTCAGATCTCTTAATTTCTAAATAGTTAGGAGTATAGGCATGAGCCACCAACACCCAAAACACCTCCATCTCTGTTACTGAATTGCATGTTTGTGAAAGCAGGGGCTCTTTATGTCACCAATGCTCAGCACTCAGTGCTTGATAGCCATTTGAGATCCTCCTTAGAAGTGAGACATTTCTAGCCCCATGATGTTCTCTCTTGCTCCAAAGTCTCACTTCAACTTTCTTCTATAGCACTAGAAAAGACCCAAAATTCCTAGCTCTCTGCAGACATGCCAGCCTTCTAAAAGTACATTAAAGATACTGGAATCAGAATGATTGGGACCCAATCTGGCATTGCCACTTAATGGCTAGGCAGCTTTAGACCAATTACCTACCTTCACAATTTCCTTATCTGGAGAGATAATAGTAGCTACCACATAAGGTTGCTGCAAGGATTTGCTAAGTTAATATTCTATATAT